GCGAGCATGTTTGGTGGGACGGGGATTCGAACCCGCAAGAATCCCCTGGCCAAGCCGGGCCCCTCCAAAAGAAATGGTGGGATCTAAGTGAACATAAAGTAGCTATAGGTGATGGTATGAAAGCACAGACATTTGTGTAACCAATCAACAAAGTCAAGCTCACTGATAAAAGCAAGACAAGGCTAGCTAACTACTGTATTGAAAGAAAATGTTCCCATTGTCTCCTTACAACCAAATTGGGTCAATTAGATGGTAGGGCAAACACATGAAGTACTACAGGGAATAATCAGATTTCAGATCATACTTTACGATTCAGTCTTACACACAGCACCAAAAGTTAAACTCACTGTAAGTACAATTACAATATATTAATAAAGTAGAGGGTGTAATTTAAATACATTACTGTCAAAAATGAGAACACCGTTGTAATAAAGTAATACTTAACCTGATGCTGTTCCATTTCTAAAGCTTCTAGCTGTTGCATTTGTATTTCTAACAATTCTTGTTGCCGTTTTGCCTTTTTTCTCAATTTCTTCTTCTTATTTTTGGACATTTTAGCATTAGGATCAGGTCCCCGAAAACCTCTGGGTGCTGTACTCACTAGAAGTAACTGGCAATTACTGATGTTATAAAATATTCAACGGTAAAAAAGAAAACATTCATTATGATACCAGCATATTATTTACACGATACATTCATTATGATACCAGCATTATGTACATGAAACATTCTTTATGATACCAGCATTACGTACATGAAACATTCTTTATGATACCAGCATTACGTACATAAAACATTCATTATTATACCAGCATTACGTACATGAAACATTCATTATATACCAGCATTACGTACATGAAACATTCATTATTATACCAGCATGCTGGTATCATAATGAATGTTTCATGTACATAATATTATGTACACAAAACATTCATTATGATACCAGCATATTATGTACATGAAACATTCTTTATGATACCAGCATTATGTACACAAAACATTCATTATGATACTAGCATTATGTACATGAAGCATTCATTATGATACCAGCATATTATGTACATGAAACATTCATTATGATACCAGCACTATGTACACGATACTGTACCATTTATATGACTTATTACCAATTTAGACAAATAAGCTTATTTTCTTTACATAATGCCAGAAATTAAAATTGTGATAGTTTTATCTAAGCAGGAAAAAGTTCAGTCTGAATTTGAAGCTCTTCGGCTAAGAAAAAAAAAATTACAGTGACACTAATGTTATGGTTCAAGACAACACTTGGCAGGAAACATATCTATTTCTGGTGTTAGTAATTAGCATGGTATCAGTTGTTCACAGCTACATTTGAATAATGTTCTACACCATTTGCAAGTTATGCTTTCATTGAAACAAGTAAACACGCTATGACCCCCCTTGGATAAATTCCACTTGGCTTTATATTAAATAGTACTTCACTTGTAACTATAGAAACTCCATAACTCAAAACAGACATTTATTTTCAATACTGTAAATATAAACACTTAAAAACACCATTAAATTGCTCCGTGTTTATCTATAAGATATATATATGTTTGAACATTTTTGTTTCATCTATACTGTGAGAATGTCCAATTCTTGAAACAAATGGACATCACGTTTGTTTGTATGTGTGTATGCCTTTAAGCACAAAGCTACACAATGAGATATCCGAGTATTGAAACCCTGATTTAACACCACAAGATTTCACACTTATTGCTGATCCGTTGTGGGGTATGAGAAAGATCTCAGCTTCTTGCATCCCTCTTCTCCATCGCCTCTGGTTTCGATATATATAAAACATTTTAAGTTTTTTGTAAAATGAAGTTGAAAGCTATTGCACAATACAGAGCTATCCACAGTGTAGATGCAACATTTATACACTGATGCATGTGGTGACATGGGTTTCTTGAGAGAAAAAATAGGATGGACACAGTTGGAAGTTTTAATCTGACGAAGGTCATTCATAATGTTGAGAAACCCAATTAAAGTAAATATATAATATAGACGGCCGGAAAATGGGTAGTAAAGAATTTTAATTAAAATACAAAACAACGAACAGCATTCTGACCTGCTTAGAACATCATCAAGTTATGAATGATGATGATCCAAGCTGGTTGAAACATTGTTACTTGTATTTTAGATACGTTTTTAATACTCGTATCAGCCGTCTCTACGATAAAAATGAGTGTCAGTTACCTTTAAAAAGATTTTCCACCATTATTGTCATGGGTTACAGAAGTTTATTGGACCTTTCAAAACTTCTACAGAAGAAGAAGAAGAAACCAAATGGTACATACCTAACGAACCAGGAAGCCTGACACCCATCTTCTGCCACTGAGTTGCTTCGTATGCTAGTCTTCTCACATATGATTCGTCTACTGCAAGCAATATATTTTCAGGTTTTATATCAGTGTGAATAATTTTACATTTGGAATGGAGGTAATCAAGTCCTTCCAACACCTGGGGTGAAAAACAAAAATATTTAAAAATCTAAGAACGTTTTTAACTAAGGCACATCTGTTATACAAACACACACACACACTCTGGTGATTCCAAAAGTGTGAATTTACCTCTGCTTTGGTGAAAAAACAACAACAACCATTATTTCTAGATGAATGAAGTACATAATAATTTGTTAGTTATTATAAAAAAATATAAATCATGTCATTTACCAATTGGGAACATGTATATATAATACAATCATTGTCATAAAAAAAAACACAGATAAATGGGGAAAACTTGATTTATAGAATATCAAAGTTTATGTTTTTCCACACATTTATATAACGGAAATGTAATAAACAAGACAGTTTTTATCCTACCCATGGTACATCTGATAACAAGGAAGCATGTGCGGCTGGTTCTTATAAACCAGTAAATGTCTGAATCCCACATTCCTTATATATTTCTAAACACAAATGTTGTTGTTCAACGTTTTCTTTGTATATCAATACAAATCTAATACATACACTTTGAAAATGTAATAGTTTTTAATATACATGGTAACAGTTCAACAAAGAAGTAACACACAGTGGAATACACTATATGACAAAAGGAAGTGGACTAACAGTGGGCAACCTATTATCCAAGTTAGTGAAGTAAAAGAATGAAAGGGCACAGAATTCCTTTTAATTCCAAGTACGAGAAAGGTGGTTCCTGTAATAAATAACACAGAATTCTGGCGAGACAAAAATCGCGTGATTCTATTTAGTTTCATGATCAATATACATTTAATCTTTACAATTAACCATCTCTTAGTTAAAAAAAAAAAAAACACTTGTCAAAATGTTTGAGTCAGTTTCAATTCTGAATAGCCTGTAGTCTTTTACTGCAAATTCTGTCTCATTCAGGACTAAACAACGCAATAAATGATTCACTGGCCTTTTTAGAATACGCTTTAAATTATGGCAAGTTCATTAATGTTTCTTTGGTTAAAAGTACAAGTGCATGCTTCACAAATTGATAACCTATAAACAATTGTAACATAACATGAAAATTTTAAACAGCGTTATAGCCAATAGTCAAATGAAATAACATGTGATTGTATTTCGTTATTAACCCCTAGTTTTCCTCAGAGGTACACCTACTTTCTCTACTCCCAGGAACAACATGGGCATACTTTGATAAGGGTTTTTTTCACGCTTAGTCCATTAACGTACGGTTTTTAAGGTCCTTCTTCAATAAAATGTAGAATAAATAAATCAATTGAATGTTAAAAAAATTATATTTTATTGAAGTTTCCTATTTTCCCTGGAAATACAGAATACCTGGTTGCAAAAGAGTTAAGACTCAGTGCTTTAGTTTAAAATATAAATTTAGAATTTCATAAAAGCATACTTAAAAACGGTGTGTTTTAGCAGGGCAATACCTCTGTTATGTCAAATGGAAGACATAGGAGCATGTTCCAAAACAATCAATTTGTCGGTAAGTAACTAAAGAAATTGTATCATGCTTTTTTTTTTTCCAAATACGTGTATGTAAATAAACTTGTGATGTTTTCTAAGCCTAACCGATACACAAACGTTTTTAAAAATCTCCACGTACTCACCTGTCTAATAATAGTTTTTACATTCGCAATAGGTATACCCTGGTAACTCGAACGAATGATAAGCTTCAATAAATTGTGTCCTAAAACTTCAAAGACCATACATACATCTGGATAAAGGTCAAGAACTTTTCTTTCTTACTGTTTAGACGATTAGAAACATTGTACATCCAGTGTTCAAAATACTGAGTGATAAGCATTATAAGAACTTTGATGTAAAACAATGATACATTGTCTACTTTAATTAAACTTAAGAAGAAGAAAAACAAAAACAAAGCATAATTTATTTAATAAACTGTTGTATCACTGTATGAAATACTCATACTAGAATAAAACATTTAAAAATATGTTGGGTATTACATGGTACTCCTGCATATTATAATGTTAACTGAAAACAATACATTTGACAGTCTGTTTGGTACACTAATAATTCATTGCATAAAATATATATATTCTTCAATCCAGTAGAATCACATGCACTAAATTGATTCACTAAGTTGTGATCTCAGTTTAGCATGTTAGTAAATTCTGTTAATACACATCGATTCGCTAGGTTGTGATCTCAGTTTAGCATGTTAGTAAATTCTGTTAATACACATCGAATCGCTAAGTTGTGATCTCAGTTTAGCATGTTAGTAATTTCTGTTAATACACAATAATTCCTTAGGTTGTGATCTTAGTTTAGCATGTTAGTAAATTCTGTTAATACACATCAATTCGCTAGGTTGTGATCTCAGTTTAGCATGTTAGTAAATTCTGTTAATACACATCGATTCGCTAGGTTGTGATCTCAGTTTAGCATGTTAGTAAATTCTGTTAATACACATCGATTCACTAGGTTGTGATCTCAGTATAGCATGTTAGTAAATTCTGTTAATACACATCGAATCACTAGGTTGTGATCTCAGTATAGCATGTTAGTAAATTCTGTTAATACACATCGATTCGCTAGGTTGTGATCTCAGTTTAGCATGTTAGTAAATTCTGTTAATACACATCTATTCACTAGGTTGTGATCTCAGTTTAGCATGTTAGTAAATTCTGTTAATACACATCTATTCGCTAGGTTGTGATCTCAGTTTAGCATGTTAGTAAATTCTGTTAATACACATCGATTCGCTAGGTTGTGATCTCAGTTTAGCATGTTAGTAAATTCTGTTAATACACATCGATTCGCTAGGTTGTGATCTCAGTTTAGCATGTTAGTAAATTCTGTTAATACAAATACTAGTATACTTTCTCATTCAATGTATGAATTGCCTCCAAATCTCCATAATGGTTGTAAAGAAAACACTAGTTTAGTTTGGATTACTGTTTTACTCTTGTCATAAAATACAGACTCTCTTGTATTTGTAAACAAAGGATACGAGTTCCATTCACTCCAGAAATCTTGAAATCATCAAGAAGCTGCACAACCTTTTCTCTGTAGGGATCATCTGGGTCACTTTCTCTTACCTGGAACACAGAAAGTCAGTTATGTAATCAATCTATGGTTCTAAATACAACTGAAATTAGTAGATGTTTAGGAACATCAGCATAAAAAATAACCGAGGAAAAAACAATATCAAATTATATACTGAATATCAAGCAGACATATTTCTTGATATATATATATATATATATTCATACTAGATTTTATTTTGTAGAGAAGGGAAAAAATAATTAAATATATATTTTCACAACAGCTCAATTACGTTTACTACTTTAAAATCTATTGTGACGTATGCCTACAACCACAAGTAGTTGTATACTTTGAGGAATTTAGTGTACTAGTCTATGGGAAAATATTAATATTCTTATAACTTTGCAGCCTTACATTTACGACAAAATACAGGGTGTAGTGGAATTATTAACTCGAGATTCACTTTTCCTAATAAGCATGTTTAAGTTCATTTTATAGCAAATATAGACACTTGATTATATAGCTATAATGTTATAAAATACAATTATCACTTTAGTAAATTCTAAAAAAAAATCTTATGGTCACATGTCAATTTAGTTGAAAAACAAATTGTGAAGCTGTAAAAAACAAACAAAAGCTTACAGATCGGAGAATCTTGATTTCATCAAGGGCTGTATCAGTGTAATTGGAAGCACTCTTGACAACCTTTAAGGCCACAAAACGCTTTGCACTACAAATATACAAGATCGGGAACTGTTTTACTCACCAGAAAAAATGGTAATAATAAACTCAAATTTTTTTCTCTTGCATTTCTACTTATATTGAATTATTTAGAACTTATTTCTAATAAATTATCCTTACAAAAATAGAGAGAGAAAAGAGCAGATTTGGCATCTAGTTAAAAATGGCCCATCTTTCTTGGTCAGTGTTCCCATAAAGTAGTTGTTTAAATTTCCCGCACCTAAATGTAATTGGACAATACTTATAATTTCTTCCTATTCTTTAAGCACACAAGTTCAGGCTTAGTGGTCAAATGAAGGAGCATTACAATACTGTAGCATCACTTTGGTTCTAAACTTGTTAATGAAGTGATCAAAGTGGTATCATCTTGATTCTAAACTTGTTAATGAAGTGATCAAAGTGGTATCACCTTGGTTCTAAACTTATTAATGAAGTGATCAAAGTGGTATCACACTGGTTCTAAACTTGTTAATGAAGTGATAAAGGTGGTATCACATTGGTTCTAAACTTGTTAATGAAGTGATCAAAGTGGTATCATCTTGATTCTAAACTTGTTAATGAAGTGATCAAGGTGGTATCACACTGGTTCTAAACTTGTTAATGAAGTGATCAAAGTAGCATTAACTTGGCACTAAACTCTACTCAAATGATTAGTGTAATAACCTTGGTTCTAATTTCTTTAACAAATTATTCAAGTGGAAATATTTCTTTGTTTTTAAAATCCCTAATAAAGTGATCAAAGTGACAGCACCTTGATGGTAAAACACAAACTTATATTTGTTTTAAGAATAAACTCTGTATTTTCTAATTAAAACAAGTAAAATTTATTCATCAGAATTCAATGCGTTGCTTTACACCATTGGCTGGATACTGATGGTAGATATAAGTTGCCGCAATCTTTTAACAGTCCTGTAGTTAATGTTTTTACGTTTAGCTCCTATTTCCATTAGTGATATATTTTCTAAAAAAAACAAACTAAAAATTACATCTACTGGTACGAGCTTACTCATTTTATTAAATTTCATATTCCGTTACTTTATTATACAGAATCTGTTAAAGGAAATTTTGTAATGTTCATAAGCTCTTCAAATCTTCATGTCACGAGACTTCGAAAAACAAACCTTCATCAGCAATTAAAGTTAATAAATTAGCAATAATACCAACTCTCGCAAGTTAGCAATGTTACTAATCTTATGAAAATGTTTCACGTAGTATATTCAACTTTTTTTTTTATTTATTCACTTTTTGTTTTGTTTTTTTCTGTTCTGCCATAAATAACAAATAACCTGTTAATTCATATGCATAAGTAACCACTATCAACTCTTAAAATTTAAATACATTGTTAGATTGTTGAATGTTTATCTAAATACTAAAACCTTCTTTACAGTTAAAACTTGTGTACTTGAGAATGATCACACCAGTGATCGAAATGTCGTATCTGTTCTAAAAAATAATCTTCCTTATTGTAGAAGCTGTAACTTGAAACAAAACACACTTAAATCAATAAGTAAACTCAAAATAAAACTAGGAAATATAATTGTTTATTACAATGAATGCATTAAACTCGTTTATCTGTGGGGGTTGGTTAACCAGCGTGAATTACTTGCTACTTACGTGAGATCCCAGCAAAGCCATACTGTAGAAAAGTGCCCCCAGCCAAGCTTTCTGATCACATGATACCTACCATGGAACAGGTCACCAATCTTCACTGGGTGATAACCTCCTAAAAAATCAAGTAAAATATGATTAGTTGTTCTACACTGAATCCTGTAGTACAACTTATATAATCTCACACGGATGTAATATTTTAAAGATACTCTAGGTGTCTTATAAGTAGTTCTAGGTTTTATTTGAGGCGAAAGAAATGTCAAAATATGTTACAAAAAATAAATAGCAGTCATGATTCTAGGTTGTAAGTTACCTGCAGTAAAGTCGTGCGAAATATATAAGACGGAACTCCCATTAGTCACAAGAAACTTGTTGTTTAAAATAAATACCAAATGATGCTGATTAAAGAGTCAAGCTGCATAACAAACATTTGATTTCCTTAAGTGGATTTGTGAATGTTACTTTCCTGTGTAACCTTGGTAAACAGTTGCTTAGTAACTTGGAAAACAAAATAAACTTAGTCATCTGGTAGTCTTCAAAATGTTTTAAGAATGGGTCGTAATTTGATTCGGAAAATGTGTAGTATACAGATAAAACTATCAAGAAACCACAAGAGTGTGTGTCTCAACTAAACATGACAGCACTCTCTGTACTGTTAATGACAATAAACAGACTATAAATTTGGAAAATAATCACAATTATATGGTACAAACTGAATAAATAACAAAAAATTAATTTTAACACCTTATTCAAGATTTATTTAACAACATTATAACTCAGCAAATGAATGCATAAGTTTCAAGTCACGTACAACTTATTAATACAAAAAAATACGATTAGCGGGTGTTTCTTTCTAATGGTCGCATAAGACACCTTATCTGATGAAGTATAAACATGACATGGTATCAATATCTTCAGACATACACGGAAGTCTCTTTAAACAGTTCTTCTGAACAGCATCAAGTGACCAATCAAACCCAATGATACACCACCCATTGTATAGCTATACTTTGTTAAACAGAGAAAGAATAATGGCTTCCAGAATATGACCCACTATGTCATACCTTGGGGTATCCCTTATACAGTAAGCCCCAGGGCATGTCATAGTTGTTTCTGGGGCAATTGAGAGAAAATAGTTGGTTATCAAAAATATAAACCAGAAATAAAATAAGTAATGAAAATGAGTGATAAACTCTTGATGCCCCCGGGGGCATGGTGTAGGGGGTCTGTTGTGATGTAGAGCAAGTATTTGAAAGTACTAGATAAAGAATTTTAAAAGTCAGAATATATATACATACACACGCAATTACAATGAAGTTTACAGGCTCACTTTGAAAGACTCAAACTTTTGAGCATGTACTTATTCAGGAAAACTAAAAACAAGAAAATTCTGGTGAGCTAAAATAACTAATTTTTCAACCAAAAATTGATTGTAAAAATATCTGAATCAATACTTACACCAGAACAAAAAGCTATTATTATTCAATGAATAACAAAATCATAGTTTCTTATTTAAACCTTTTTTTTCTTCTTTTAGTAGAAGTGAAAATCTAAATAATAATTTACTGGTTATTTCTAGTCCTAGTAGTTTACTCATATAAATATTTCCAATGACGTATATTTCATTAGTTATTATCTCTGTACCTTTACAATAATCTCTGGGATCCTCTTGTTCATCATCATCTGATCCCAGGATTTCCTCTTCTTCTTCCTCTTCTTCACATAATGGTTCTGAAGTTGAAAGCCGTAGCTCAGGCCTATAAGTATATAAAAGAATAATGGCAATAGTTAGTGTGGTTTGTATATTAATTGTGGCAAATTGATTTCTGAAAAAACGAACAGCGACTTGTAGTTTCTTAGACAGAAATCATCACCTAAACAAAGGTTTTGTCAGAACAACAACAAAACATTTTAAAAAGCTGATAAGAGAGGGCGCCACATCACGTAGTCTTAAATCTTTTCCTTTACATTTCATTTTGAAAATATTTATTTTTTAAATATCGTTGGGTCAGTGGTAAGTTTACGAACTTACAACGCTAAAATCCGGTGTTTGATTCCACGCGGACAGAGCACAGGTAGTCCATTGTGTGGCCTTGAGCTAAAACAAATATTTTTATTTCTTAAGTTCATGTCAAGAAAGTAAAAGAAAACCGTGCAAAGTAGAAAGCAAACTTTAAAATAACTCAAAAATGACTTAGAACATAAAATAAGTGTTCTATTGAGTCAATGGTTTTAATAAGTAATAATGAAGGTTTTTGTAAAGAAAAAAAAAGTCACGATATCAATTAATCAAAAAATAAAACTAATAAAGTGTGTTTAAGGTTTCGAAATCTACTCAATAATTGAAATTTATTTCAAATCACTAGACTGCTCTCTTATATATTGATTTCTTCATTTTCCTAACATCTCATTAGTTATAGAGGCTTGCCTATACATACATACATATATAAAAACTTAGATGAACCACGCTTAAACTTCGTAATTTTCAGAATCACGTGGTTACAAATGCTCAATGAAATAAAGATTTGAAATAGACGCGACCAGGTAGAGAAATAGTACTGGAGCACGTTCTTGTTTCATATTGATATTTTCTTGTCTAGACTACTGGCGACACGACTACTAATTCTTCTTCTTCATCAAGACGTGTAAATTATAACTACACTATGACACACTGAATGTTCCCGTTGACAGCTTTAAATTAATCTGGACTGCAACTTTTAACTCAACCAAAAACATTACACTTACATGATGAACAACGAAAAAGTAATTAACGATAATAAAAGAACAGGGATTTCTGCTAGAAAGAATGACCTGTGGTATTTCAATTTAACGCAAAAATAACCGTTCTTAACACTTGGGAAACACGGTACACGATCTTGTATTTTTATCTCGAACCCCAAAACGTGGAAGTTGTAACTTTAATTTTTCACAAAGTTTTATATAATACGGATATTTCAATATTTAGACTAGTAATTAACTTTATTCATATAAACTTATGTTATTAATTAGTTACAGTAGCTTCAATAAATCATTTCGAGACAGAAAACACTGAGCACAAAAAAAAGTTGAAAATGGAAGTTAATGAGAAACTGTATAATGAGATCAGAATGGTAGCTGAAAAAAAAGATGTTGTTATGGGCGATTTTAACTTCAGGGGTATTGACTGGGAAAGTATCGAGTCTAACAGTGATGGGGGGGGGGATAGGTTTTTGGAAATTGTTCAGTATATTTTTTCTACACCAACTGGTTATGGATCTTACGAGAGAGGAAGCTTATTAGATTTAATATTAGCACACGATGTGAACATGATAGACAGAGTTGTGTTTGGTGAGCATTTAAGTAGAAGTGACCATTGCACTATTAGGTTTGGGATTTTATTACGTGTAAAATTGAAGAAGAATAGTACCCTGATTCCAAATTTCAGGAAAGCCAATTTTGATGGAATGAGACATGATCTGGCTTCTGTAGATTCGACTAAAGAGTGAGAGGGGATCTTGAACAGATGTGGGAAGCATTTAGGGAAAAATTTATATGTATACAGAACATACATATTCCCTACAGAAAAAAATGGCAATGGAGCGGAACAAGCCAGTATGGTTTAAGAGATTATATTAGGGATAAACATAATAAATTCAAGAAATATAAACTTACTGGAAATGATAAAGACTCGGAGAACTATAGGAAATCAAGAGAGTTAGTTAAAAAGGAAGTTAAAAGGGCAAAAACTGTTAGGATGGGGATTGGGCCTCTTGAAAATGATAGTGGAGAGCTGATCTCAGAAGAGTATGAGATAGTAACTTATTTAATTATATGTTCTCTTCAGTTTTTACAAAGGAGGATACCAGTATTATGCCTTAACCAGAGAACTTGATGTATGGGGAAAATATTGATGTAAAAGATATCATTTTAAGTTCTAAAACTGTAAGAGAAAAGTTTGGAAACTTAAAAATTGACAAATCCCCTGGACCAGACAACTTTTATTCTAGAATTTTAAAGGAACTTAAAGATTTTATTTGTGAACCTCTAGCTAATATTTTTTATGGGTCGTTGAGTAGTAGAAGAAAGAGTATTAGAAGATTGGAAGTTGGCTAATGTTAGTCCAATGTTTAAAGGAGGTGATACACATTGTCCAGGCAATTATAGGCCAGTTTGTCTTACATCAGTAGTTCAAAAGGTTTTGGAGTGTGTGATTAAAGATGCATTGCAAAGTCACTTAAAGAAGTTTTATATTGTGTCAAAGAGCCAGCATGGTTTCACTAAGGGAAAGTGTTGTTTAACAAATCTTCTGACAATCTTTGAGGGTGTTACTGCAAGAGTTGATGAAGGAAATACTGTGGATTTGGTTTAACTTGATTTTCAGAAAGTGTTTGATAAGGTGCCTCACAAGACTTGTTTCAAAAAATTAATCCTGTGGGTGTGGTGGAATGTTTAAAATTGGCTGGAGAGTAGTAATAAATGGAGTTAGATCTGACTGGATCACAGTTACAAGTGGTGTGCCTCAGGGCTCTGTGCTGGGTCCTCTGCTGTTTGTGATTTATATTAATGATATTGGCTCTGGGATGACTAACAAAATTTTAAAGTTTGCAGACAGCATTAAGATTTTTGGGGTGCCTAAGTGTATCAAAGATGCTACAGACTTACATGGAGATTTAGATCATTTGATGCATTGAGCCAATACATGGCGGATGATGTTTAACTATCAAAAATGTAAGGTGATGCATGTAGGTTTTCACAATTCAAATTACTGTTACAATTTAAATGGGAATACATTAAATACTGTGGTTGAAGAAAAAGATCTTGGTGTTGTGATCGAAAAATCAATTAAGTCATCTAAACAATGTACTGTAGCTTGCAATACGGCTAATAGGATTTTGGGTAGCATCCATATAAATATTGAATACAAGACAAGGGATATTATTGTTTCACTGTATAGATCACTTGTAAGGCCTCATTTAGAGTACAGTGTACAGTTTTGGGCTCCTTTCCTCAAGAAGGACATTGAAATGTTGGAGAAGGTTCATAGAAGAGCCACTAGGATGATACCTGGGATGGTGGGATTGTTCTATGAGAAGAGACTAAAATCTCCAAAGTTGTTTTCTCTGGAGAGGAGAAGGTCAGAAGGGATTTGATTGAGGTGTTTAAGATTATTAAGGGTATTGATAATATAGATCCATCAAACTTTTTGTGTTTAGCAGTGAAAACAACAGGACAAGGGGTCATAAATTCAAATTTTGGCAGCGTAGGAGTACTCCGCAGTTTAGACAGTATTACTTTCCAAACAGGGTGGTTGACTGTTGAAATAAGCTGCCTTCAAGGGTGGTGAAGGCAGAAAATTTAAAGGAGTTCAAGAAAAGATTGGATGAATACAGGAGTAGTAAGGGGTGGTTATAGTTGGGAGCTGGAAAGGACATCTTTGATGGGTTAATAAGCTCCTTTTTGTCCCTTTAAAGTTTTATGACTGAATACTAATGGGGTGACTACAATATATCCTTTAATTATCAGTCGTTTAATATTATGAGTTTACATTGTCCATTTATGATATTCAAGTTTTAATTATAATATGGCATATCTAATCATAATCAAATGTCATTCATCTCAAGGTGTAAGTTATCTTAAATATTTGCTGGGAGGAGAAAGGTAACACGAAATTTCCCTTACAGGACTGCATTGATTGCCTTTTAATAACAACATTTTTTTAAAATGCGTTTTCCATCTTTGTCTAAAGTGTTAACGTTAAAATAATCTACAATCTGTTATGTCATTACATGCCTGAATGTTTGACATTTATATGGTATACTAGCGAAAGTACCTGGCTTTACACGGGTTATTAGGTTCATATATTATTAGGTTGATGTATTTTAGCAAGTGTATAAAAATTTATCATGAAAATTAAAATATCGATTCAATTTTAAACTTGAATCGTTTCTGAATTAAGCTATTTTCTGTTATATCACCAACGATTTTAATTTAAAGAAAAACCTCTTTAGTCAACAGAAACTCTAAATCAAGAAATCAACAAATATTATTCCAGTTCTGTTGTTTAAAGATTTCATTTTATACTTTCAATATATGGACGAACAACAATATTAGGTTATACTTTTGTTGCTAAGCGACATGACATAAAAGCCATTGTTGGAATGCATTGTCACCAAAACTCACTGGCTTTTCTATATATTAGAGGTTGTTATATAAAGAACCATTTTTTTCTATGCGGTTTTTCGTTAGCTTGCCTCATTAAAAAGATGCACATGCGCGCAAGCACGTGGATAAGTAATACCCAGGTGCACACCCTCAGGGTCCACTAAGTATGGGTGCAAAAGTTCAGGTTTCTAGGTTCTTACTTCTTGAAGCTATGACAGTCATAATTATTTTATTTTATATATGTGGTTTTTTGCTAGCTTGCCAAATAAAATGATGCTCACGCGCATGCACATGGATAAGTAATAATACTCAGTTGCACACCCTTAGGATCCACTTATTATGGGTGCAAAATTTCAGGTTTCTAGGTTCTTTCCTCTTGGAGCTATGATAGTCACACATACACAGACATGTCCTATTATTATAGATTATTACTAAAATATCACCTGTATAATTCTACTGGGAAGAAATCATAACGCGGTCCAGTTAGAGATATTTCTATAAGTTTCGTGATACCTTTCTCCAAGCAAAAAAATTCATACCACTTCTACCCCATAGTGAAGATTTTATGAACTGTGTAGACAGTTTTTCTAATTGTCAGCCTATAGTAAGCAGATGTAAACAATAAAGCTATATTTCAAATATCAACTCGAAATTACTAGATTTTCGCCCACAGCAACTTGCAGTTTCGGAGACAATATAAAATCGAAAAGTCACAGAACCAAAATTTTAGTTTATAGAATAAATACCTCTACGAACTGTGTCCGGCACGTCTATTTAATTACCACTTACTTTCAGAAAAAAAAAAAAAACAGCAACCTACAATAGAAAAAACTGAAATAAATAAAAATAAAGTAAATTTGACTCAACCAAAGGTAGCACATATGCAAATATTTGGTTTAGTTACCAACGATGGATAATCTGGCAAAAAAAAAAGTGTGACGATAGAACGCGAGACCTATTTGACGTAGAAATGACCATACTGATGAAACAAAATGCAAGGTTTGTGCCAACTTCTAATATGTCCAATTACTGTAAAGAACGTGTCCCTGTGAAATCACTTGATTATTTTTGTTCCAAGCGCACTGATACATCTAATTCCAGATCACTTGATTATTTTTGTGCCAAGCGCACTGATACATCTAATTCCAGGTCACTTGATTATTTTTGTTCCAAGCGCACTGATACATCTAATTCCAGATCACTTGATTATTTTTGTGCCAAGCGCACTGATACATCTAACATACTTCTAACATACATCTAACATACTTCCTATATACAAACTACAATAATACTTATTAATTGTGAATAATTCATTTTACGTACTATTTGAGATAGGCCTAATAACTATAAGCGTGCAGTAAACCCACTCTCGCAAATAATTGTATAAAACACAAAAAAGGCAGCATGTAAAATAAATAATAATACCGTACTATTAAAAACGTATGAAGTTACAGAGCTGGGCTCGAAATCGAAGCTTGGAAGATGCAGATGCTAGTATATCACAGATGTTAAAAACATTTGTTTAGAAGAAGGTTTAGGTGAACGACTTCTGACAATAAACAAAAGGGTTCTTCACAAAAGCTAGCAGCAGTACAGCTACACCTGGATGAGCTGAACACGAACTGTACAGGATATTTAATCCTATAATAACGGTCCCATAGAAACCAACTCCTGATGACGTATACGTTGTTTACAAGCTCACAGGTGTCTTTTTCCGCTATACCTTGGGAGCTCCGCTATCTATCTAGAGGCAGAAAATGCCTCGGTTTTATTGTAACGAACTTCCTTCGAAGCACAGGTATATATATGGACAATGTACATTTCTGAGGGGGGAAACAGTCAACCCAATAATGATTCATGCAATACAAACACCAAATTAATTAAATTAATGCAAGTTTTATGGTAATATTATTTTTATATTCAAACCAACTAATTAATGGATAAATGCCAGCAAAGTTGCTCTGAACTCTGGATGACAACAAACACTTGGATCATTTGTGTGTTGTCACGTGTATAAAAAAGGAAATCAAGTCTATGTCCAACATAATTACACTAATTTTAACAATCATTAAGAGCTAGAATGCGTAAAAATAAATAAAAAAAATACTATATTGGAGTTCTCAGATAAAAGTACATCAAACACAAAACAATATTACAAACTGAAGACTATAGAAACAGGTATTAATGTTTATTTAATATTCACACTGTCCTAACAATTACAAACATTTGTGTTAAATGAAATGTGACAACTTTCAAGGATTACAAACTTAGGTGTTATCATTCAAATGAAAACAAGTCTTGTATCTCAATTAGCCAAGGATATATAATAACTGGCTCCACAATAACACTCTCTTTCAGCTTTCAATGTCGGACTTATTAGCTGCATTAATCATCTACCCAACATTACTGGATACCACAGGACATATTAGCTACATTGATAACTTTCCCTGTTATCTCAGTAATACAGGGGAAGTTATCCATGTAGCTAATATGTCCTGTGGTATCTCAGTAATACAGGGAAGTTATCAATGTAGGTAGTATGTCCTGTGGTATCTCAGTAATACAGGGAAAGTTATCAATGTAGCTAATATGTCCTGTGGTATCACAGTAATACAGGGGAAGTTATCAGTGTAGCTAACATGTCGTGTGGTATCTCAGTAATCCACAGGACATATTAGCTACATTGATAACTTCCCCTGTATTACCGAGAGAGCACAGGACATATTAGCTACATTGATAACTTCCCCTGTATTACCGAGAGAGCACAGGACATATTAGCTACATTGATAACTTCCCCTGTATTACCGAGAGAGCACAGGACATATTAGCTACATTGATAGCTTCCCCTGTATTACCGAGAGAGCACAGGACATATTAGCTACATTGATAACTTCCCCTGTATTACCGAGAGAACACATGACATATTAGCTACATTTTTATTCTTGAAAATCAAAAGGATTGCAAACATAAGTTTTAAATTCAGAAGTAGTTACTCATAGATCTACAGTTGTCTTGAAGCACACACAGTTCATCACGACGAGAACTTGTGTACGAAATCCGAAGTAATAATAATAATAAAAGATTGTTTTCAACTTAAGACTGGTTATTATTAGCACATTATCAAACATATTATCGAATGGACGATAAAACAAACGGGATACTAAAAAACTATTTGCGAGAATACTACGATTTTGAAAGTCATTAGAAACTTAAAATACCTTAAGTTCCACGATTCTTCCACAACCACGTGCTGACAGACAAAAGGCATAAACCATTAAATGACGTGAAACTTGTGTACAACTAACGGTATCACATCAAGACCCAAAAGGACGAGTTTTTCGTGTCTGGAAAATCTATGCCTAACTTAATGAACTGTCTGCCTGGAGAAGGGGTAAGCCCGTGCAACGTCGTGTCCAGCTAGGTAGAACCTTTTGTCTTTTCGCGTTGGAGCTCGAGTCAAAAGATGAAGAGGGAATAGTATCGATCGCTTTAGCTGAATTTACGTCATACGTCTGCGCATCAACAAGACTTATCTTGTACCGAAAAGCCGCCAGAGCAAGCTTCACCGCAGAGCCCCGTCAGTGTTAAAATTCCACAAATAACGAACGAACAATCCTGGTGACGTCTGAGTGGTAGACTTTAAAGATGTATATTCTAGCGGCAGAAAGCTCAGTAAAACCTCGTCAAATGACTAGTTCTGTTCGTTTACAACAACAGAAGCGATAATTTTTGTTTATTTGCAGTACAGCAACAAAGCTACGTAATAGGCTATCTGTTCTGTGCCCACCAAGGGTATCGAAACTTTTTTTTTACCATTATAAGCCTTCAGATATAGCTGCGCCACATGGGAGCGGGTCGGGGGAGGGCGACAAAAAAAATCATACTGAAGGGTATATAACCCCCTGTAAGGAATTAACCGCATCCATATTAGAAACTACACACCACATAAAAGATGCTGAAATCACCCCACGTGCACGTAACCAAATAGCGCACCGTTTCTTGAGAACAATTCCATTCCATTACCTTCCGCTACACGTGGTATATTTACTTGTTGATTTACAGTTTCATACATTATTGTTTATTCACATCAAAACAGACACACAATTCAGTGTTTATATGATACATATTTGTCCTGTAGTTATATAATCAATACTAACAGCATATATACTTCCTTTGTGCATGTATGTGTGTGTATATATACATATATCCTTCACACACACACACACACACACACGTACATGAGAAGTCACGAAGCTAGACTCGTAAAAACCAGAGTAACACTCATAATGAAAGTTGCGTGTATGTTGCTCTTCAACCACCACCAATAATCGATAATAACGTATGTTAAATATTTTGGTGATAAGAAGAAACGACAACAGTTTTAACAGATTGTTGTATAGGTTTTGGTTTCGATTGAGGTTTTCGGTATTTTTTATACGAGAAAACTCCACGCAAACAACCAATCACCTATAATGTAACACAGGTATCCCATATGATGCGTTTTTTTCCTATTCTACTTCAACTGTTTTTAATTGCTAATAATAAATCACGTTTCCCGTACATGAAAAAAGAAAATTAAAGACGTCTTTCTCGTTTCAACAATGCTTGGTTAAATGGGGAGGAGGAGATATTGAAATAATTACAATGTCTTTGTTGCTTCCATAATATCTGGTTGAACTGGGGAGGAGGAGACATAGAAATAATTACAATGTCTTTCCTGTTTCCACAATATCGGGTTAAATGGGGAAGCAAAGATATAAAATAATCACAATGTCTTACTTGTTTCTACAACATAAGGTTGATTGGGGAAGCAGAGATATTGAAATATTGATGTTTTAACAAAATATACTGATATATCTTAACAAGTAATGTTTAGGGCACACTTGTTCTTGCCCGAAAAAAATGAAAGATTGCGAAATAGACTCGTTTGTTTGTGTTGTATCCACAGTGATGGAATCGAATCCTGGATTTCATTCAGCATTGTAAGTCCGTAAACTTACCGCTCCACGGAGGGAATTGTGAAATATAAATATGATCTTTGCAGTGTACCCGAAATCACAGAGTTAACTTTCAAACAAACATCAAAACAACATAAGTAACTAAGTCCCGGTAGAAAGGGATGTGAAGATGTTTCTGTTCTAAGAAAATAACCTTAATATCCTGTACAACAGCAGCTTGACTTGTACACACATATAAACCTGCCTATTCATAAATAGCACCTTTTCTCTGCATTTTAAACTAATACTGTCAAATAATATATATTTTAGAGACACTGCTCTCAGTAAGACGATTCCTCTTGTTGAAAGTTGCAAATAATATATCAGTTCCTGAAGTGGTAATATAATTAACAGAAAGCGAAAAAAGTACACCCAATATGCTAAACAAAATTTTCATTCAATAAAACGTGCAGTATTTTACTCATTCGTTTATTTACATTTAACTTTCAACAGAGCTTCCCGTTTAGTTTAATTTTCTACGCACTATAGCGCAAAGAAATGTGCCGCCATCTGTTACGATATTTATAAACTAATTTGAATAATTGTATCTTTTTAAGAAATAATTAAGATATAAACAACAACCTAACATTCGAAAGTAATATACTTTCACGTTATAATAACAACAAATGCCTGAAGGCCCATGTTAAAGTGCATGTTTTAACTTCCATTAAACTACCTTATTTACTTTAGATAAAAAAATCACAAATACGCTATGAAAGCCAAAAATATAGAATAAATAATTAAATAGTGAAGGTCTTGTATCAGTCAAAATTTTTAATATTAAAAAAAAATGGAGAGGAGTGGCTTGAAAAGTTTTAAGGACAAATCTATTATGATATATTCGTGGACCTTGTTTGTTTGGCCAGGTGGTTAGGGCGCTCGACTCGCAATCTGAGGGTCGCGGGTTGGAATCCCCGTCCCACCAAACATGCTCGCCCTTTCAGCTTTGGGGGCGTTATAATGTGACGGTCAATCCCACTATTCGTTTGTAAAAGAATAGCCCAAGAGTTGGCTGTGGGTGGTGACGACCTTCCCTCTAGTCTGACA